GTTCTCCTGAAGAAAATACGTTAAATCCTACACTTTTCCACTCAATTACAAAATTCTGGAGTTAGCAATTCCTTTAACATAATTGAAGTGACTTAATTCTTCCAGTAAAAACTGCAAAAGTAGTGTCTCAACTATATTCTTGACAAAACCAACAGTGCACATTTAGTGGTGCTAACAAACTATTTAATTCAGTTAGTAACAATTACCAGTGCTTAGAAATACATTTTGGCCATCACAACATGAGGTAAGTGCGTGCTGACACCTAATGAGCAGAGAGCAAAGATGCTCTAAACATGCTACATTTGAGACTGAGTTGTGCTTAGAGACTCACTTTTGAAAAACATTAATAAAACCAGTGATGTCCTGTGGAGACCATATACCTCCAATAGGACAGATGGTGGTTCCTTGCCTCTGTTCTCAAAAAACTCACTTGCCCAGTTTAATCATGAGAAAATACAATAAGGTTAATTTAATCAAGTCCACAAAATAATTGGCAAGTACTCGTCAAAACTCAATATCACCAATGATAAGAAAGTATCACAGGCAAAGTGAAATTAAGGAGAAATGGTGACTAAGTATAGTGTGGTCAGATGCATTCATTTAAACTGGGTTTGGGTTTGGGGCATGCAGGAACTCTCCATACTATCATCTCAGCTCCTCTACAAATTAATGTCAAACAAAAGTTTCTTTGAAAAGTGACGAAGAACCTTTCACCTGTGAGTCAACCACTGCTCAAAACACCCACTACCTGCTCATTTTCAACTCTGACACATACCACATTGCACATACTAATGTAAATTCCAATTGCTGAATTTATTTCCTTTACCACAATGATATCATCTCATCCCAGTAAGAATATCCATTATTAGAATGGCCAAAGAAAGGACAGATACTGGAGAAGAAGCAGAAAAAGGGGAAGAAATCTCATACAAGGTTCATGAGAATGTAAATTAGGACAGATTATGACAAACTGTTATGTAAGTTCTTCCAAAAATGAGAAAAACAATAATGATCCAACATCCCACCACCAGATATATATCAAAGGGAAATAGAGTATGAAAAGGAGACCTCTATACTCCCCTGTTCATTGCAGCTCTATTCACAATAGTCAAGAAGTGAAAGCAAAGTGTCCCTGAATGGATGAATGGAAAATGTAAATGTGGAAATGCATGTGCTGAAATATCATTAACCAAAGATTCAAATTCTTCTGTCATTGGAAGCACCATGTTTGGTGGGCATTGTGTCAAGTGAATAAATGAAGCAGAGAAAGGCATCTCACACGCGGATGCCAAAAAGTTGATCCTGTAGAAGTAGAGCATTGAATAGTTAGTTGTTAGCAGTGGCTGGAGAGTTGAGCAGGAATGGAGGGAAGGCAGGTGCAAAGGCAGGACAGTTGAATACAATGAATAATTTCTAACTCGTGACAATAATTAATTGCATATTTCAAAACAGCTAACAGAGAGTTTGAATGCTTCTCAACAGAAATGGTGAATACTTTAGTTGAAGCTTATGCCTACTCTAAACATTACACATGCAACATGGACCTTGAAAGATTACCCTACCCCACAGATATATACAAGTACGTTTCAATGAATTTTTTAGAGACATGTAAACATATTCCTGCTTCAAAATAATTTAAATAGTGATAAAAATTCTAAATAAACTTAATTAAATATATTAAAACTGGAAGAAAAATGCATAGAAGTGTTACAAACAAAAATCCCATAGTTCAGCATTTACTGAAATGGGGAAGGCAAAGGGTCAAATGGTGGATCACAGATTTACCCTATGGTATAAAATATTGGGTAAAATAGATATATGAGCTAAACATATGAAAAGCTTTTGTAATCACCCAGTATAAAATAGTTGATTAATAGTTACTTTTGTCTTCCCCACATCACCACCATAGTTTCTCTATCAACAATGTCCCAAAGTCTTTACTGTGTACAATAAAAAATCGTGATGTTCAAATTTATGAAAATTTTGAGCTTTTTAGAAAATAATCAAGTACATTGATTCAGAGATGTGAAATAACTTTCACAAAAAAAGATTGAAGAACTGGAATGATACAACCAAATAATAATGTGTTACCATGTTTTATTAGTGCTAGATCCTAAAATACCAAATTACCTCTTCTTGTAGAATCATAACTTTCAAACAAAAATAATTATTTTAAAAAGATTGAAGAACTGGAATGATACAACCAAATAATAATGTGTTACCATGTTTTATTAGTGCTAGATCCTAAAATACCAAATTACCTCTTCTTGTAGAATCATAACTTTCAAATTATCTTTCATTCCATGAACATTTGTTAGATACACCTACATTACAAAAAGATAGAGCAGTAAGTAACAAAGAAGGTTTATTCTCACAGATATTATGTTGCTCAATTTTCCATTTATTCGTTTATATCTTTTTAAAATAATTATTTTTGGTTTTTATGTATATGAATATATTGTCTTCATGTGTGTAAGTGCAACATGAGTGTGCAATGCCCACAGAGGCCAGAAGAGGGTGTAGGATCTCCTGGAACTAGAGTTACAAGTGGTTGTTAGCCACCATGTGGGTGCTGAGACTCTAACCTTGGGTCCTCTGTAAGAATAGCAAGTGCTCTTAACCACTGAGCCATCTCTCTAGTCCCTATTAACTTATTTCTTAAGCACCAATTGAGTCATAGACTGAAACAATCTTATAGTTCTTTGTAAAATAAGATAAATATATATTTACAACTATGTATAAACTTTAAATCATATATTGTTCCAGTGACAAGCAGAACTGTGAAGGAACAAGAAACTAGTGTAACTCCAAGTCAGAAATGGAACTGTCTAATCAATGACATTTTAAAAAATCTCAAATAGTCTCAATCATGACATCAAAAAGGGACTGGAAATCCAAGGTTCATAAGTACCCAAAGTAATGTAGTTGCTAAAATGTTACTTCTAGGCACACAAATAAAGCTGCACAGTTAACAAAATTTCAATGGCTATCCTCATACATCCAGTTTTAAGAAAGTAAGTTATCGAAAATTTGCATAAAAACTTGAAAATTTAAATTTTCCTTAAAAATATAGTTTTACTTTTTGGTAAATGAAACATCCCCTTTTTTATCATATATACTTTAGTTAAATAAGTTTTTGATCATAGAGTCTTCATGCATAGCTGAATCTGTGGGGTTTCTCTGGCATGCTGGACTATGATTCTGATTTATAATATTTGAATGATAATTTATGTCACTCCAACTAATGTCATTATTAGTCTCTGACTTTTTAATGTAGGGCTTTTTTTT